CAAAGCATTTTAAAGACTATTATATGTCAGAAGAAGAATAAACAGTGTTAACTTCGGAATATGACAAACTTTTTATACACTTCATTAATTCAAAGGAAGGTGGTCACAATATAGAAATGATTAAACCAGCAAGGAATGTAGTAAAGTCGGACAGGGCCGACTATATGATATCCTTCACCACTTTGGGTATATTCAACAGATGAATCCTAACAAACGTCGCATTTTTAAAGGACCAGTAAAATGAAATTGGATCCATAAACGTGTCATTTTGCAACGGATACATAATTTTTCATTTGGTCAGATATAGAAGCTATATCTAAATCTGAACCGATTTCAGGAAACTTAACACATATCATTCCAGACCTAATTCATTACGTTGTGCCAAATTTCGTGCAAATCGAATGATCTATAGGAATGAACTATAGGGACATTAAATCGGACGAAAATATATATGGGAGCTATATCTAAATCTGAACCGATTTTCAGGAAACTTAACGCACATCATTCTAGACCTAATTCAGTACGCTGTGCAAAATTTCGTGCAAATCGAACGATATGTAGGGACTTTGGTGCACCATTTACATTAAATCGGAAGAAAATATATATTGGAGCTATATCTAAATCTGAACCGATTTTTTCTAATTTCAATAGGGTTCGTCCTTGAGCCAAATAAGTGAACTATGCCAAATTTCTTCCAAATCGGATCATAAAAGCGACCTGTACTTTGTTCACAAAAATACATGGACGGACGGACGGACAGACGGACATGTGTAAATCGATTTAGAAAGTGATTCTATGCATATTCTCAAAAGGAACCATGTGTCTATCTTGTTTCCTTTGCCTGTTATAAACATATGCACAAAGACATAATACCCTATACCACAGTGTGGTGAAGGGTATAAAAATAGTATCTTCAAAAAATATGTACCTGTGGTACTTATTGGAACATCAGTAATTCTCGTATACCTTTGAAAAATGTTGTTAAAAAGCTCTATTAATATTATAATGACAACATAGTTGTGTAAGGTATAAAAATATATGCTTCTGGTAGATCTTTAAAAGTATTCTTAAAAAATCAGGACATCGGATAAATAATTTGTTTATATTTCACGCCAGGAAAAGACTTAAATTAATATTATTAACGAATCAAAAGAAAGAAGCAGATGAGGCATCTCTTAGAGTGTTTGAGAGAAAAATTCTCCGAAAGATCAAGGGGCTGATCTGCGTTGACGGTGAATATCGCCGTCGGATGAATCATAAGTTGTTCCAGCTATTCTCGGACATCGAAATTGTTTGACGTATTGAGCTGCAGCGACTACATTGGCTAGGTCATGTTGTGAGAATGGATGAAGATGCCCCAGCCCAGAAGGCATATAAAAGCGAACCAGCTGATGGGTCACGCAGAAGGGGAAGGCCACGATCGAAAGATCAAGTCGAATACAACATTGCCGAAAATGGTCTTTCAAATGGGAAAAACTGCGCAAAAGACCGACGCGCATGGACATCGTTTTTAAGCTCGGCTTATGGAACGAAAGTTCTGCCACAAGCCAGCTAAGTAAGTAAGTAATATGTTTGTAACAGTCAAAAGGAAACGTGAAAATATGCATGGTTCCGTTTGAGAATATGCATAGAACCACTTTTTTAGTCGATTTATGGATGCACGTTCATCCGTTTCATCCGTTCATCCCTATTGAAATTGGAAAAAATCAAATCGAATTGATGTATAGCTTCGTCCGATTTTATGTGAATAATGCACCAAATTCCCAATATTGGTGCTAGATTTAGCTCCCATATATAGTATCGTCCGATTTTATGTAAATGGTGCACTAAAATTCCAATATTTTTCCGATTGAGACAAAATTTTGCACAGCGCACTAAATTAGGTCCAGTTTGATGTACGTGAAGTTTTGATGATATATTTTTTAGATATATTTCTCCCATATATAGCTTATCCGATTATATGTAAGTTTTACACCAAACTCCCAATATTTTTCCGATTGGGGCAAAATTTTGCACAGCCTACTGAATTAGGTCCTGTTTGATATTTATGAAGTTTTGTTGAAATCGGTTCAGATTTAGATATAGCTTTCACCACCAAACTTTCCATAATTTTTCCGATTGAGACAAAATTTTGCAGAGCGTATTAAAATAGGTCCACATTGATGTAAACGGAGTTTTGTGAAAATCGATTCAGATTTGGATATATCCCCTTATACCGATTTTTTGGTAAATGGTCCACCAAACACCCAAGATTTGTCCGATTGATACAAAATTTTGCACAGCGTATCGAGATAGGTTCTTATTTATGTAAAGTCGAATTCGGTTAAGCGAAATCACCTAATTTCAGAAAATTTTTTTCTCTTAAGCAGGATTTTCAATTAAAAGAACTTCGCTTAAACGAAGTTCTCAATCAATATCTAAAAAATCGTGAAATTTATAAATCATATTATAAATGAATTGAGTAAGAACTTCTTTTTTCGTAGACATTTAATTGGAAGATTGGAAAAATGTGCAACATAAGTTTAGGGTTGCACATACAAATTTTAATGAAGTTCGTCGCCATTACAAAAATCATATTTTTTCTCTTAAACGGTGCTCGTTTCATATATATTTGTGTTTTTGCAACAAAGAAGTATTTTTCTTTTCTTTTATACAGATTTTCAATTAACCGGGGTTTCTTTTAAGAGAAGTAAAATGTTTGAAAATTCGTCTGAAATGTTAGTTTAAAATTTTTAGTTTCAATAAACCGATTTTTTTGATAAACCGGCGTTCGCTTATCCTAATTCGACTGTATACGACGTTTTGTGAAAATCGGTCAGATTTACATAGGGCTCCCATATATAGTTTCTTCTCATTTTTGGTAAATGGTGCATCGAGGTGCCTACGTTTGTTCCATATACACGAGATACAATTTTGAACAGCGCTCTGTGCTGCAGCATACCAAAGGTATATGCAACTGTTGCTAAATTAGGTCCTGATGTACATATATCTCCAAATACATTATTTTCCTAGATTCCATACAAATGGTACACAAAAGAATCCGATTGACATACATTTTTTCATAGATTTCAGAATGGTATGTGCATTGAGTTTTTTACTTGGTTCACAAATCTATGTAGATCACACATTTAGTTTCGCCCCATTCCATTTCAATGGTACTCTAAAGATTAGATGTCGGTTCTATCTATAGGATATTGTATATATTAGCATCTCTTGTATGTATCCAATGTGGTGAAGGGTATCATATAGTCGGCTCCGTCCGCCTTTTGAACTTTCCTTACTGGTGTTAACTTTTAAAATATGTAAAAAAAAATCTACACCTTTGGTTAAACCCATAAAAAGATTTGTAAAAAATCTACCAATTTGATTTTAACTTTAATAAGAGAGTTTAATAATTATAACACAAATTTAAAATAATTTTTATGAAAACTACGTCTTTTGTTGCATACTCTATTAATTAATGTTTAGAAATTTTACAACATTCTTAAAAAATACTCAAAAACTCCTCTCATGTTAGCCCTTTTTAAATATTCTTTACAAAATTCACATTTTTGATAGCCTCAGAAAAATATTCTTTAAATATCCAACCCTTGGAAGTCCCTTAACGATTGTTTTTTAAATCCACATTTTTTGGATTTTTTACTCTAAAAACCCATGATGATTTTTGAAGAACCACTAACCCTTAAAAAATCCACGCATTTGAAAAAAATATTCTTTAAAAAAAAATTAAAATCAAACTCATAACCTAATACAAAATTTAATAATTAAAAAACATTCAAAATTTCAATATTATTTTTTTTGTGTTTTCATTTCTTTTATTTTTATTCATTTCTTGTTCTTTGTTTTCATTCTATTCAAAATTCAATAAATTGTACCTAGGACTTATTCAATATTACACAAATATTAATTAATAGTATTTTTTTAGTTTGGCTTTGTTTTGTTTTTGTTCAATTTTTACAATAAATATTTACAATGCACACGAGACGACAACAACGACGACGACTGAGCTGTGCTGTGTTTCGTGTCAAATATTGAAAATCGTAATTTCCACTGTTGTTGTTTTTTGTTCTTGCTTGAATTTGTTGAATTTGATCACATAATGCGATTTGTTGGCGATAATTACAAAATAGCATCGCTGTTGTTGTTATTGGTGCTGCTAAAACACCAATTGTTGCAATCAGATTAAAATATGTTGGTATGCGGGTATGTTGATAATGTTTCTAAATATAAATAAACAATTTTACACCTCCAACCAGCCAACAACCATCAGCAATGATGCGTTTTGCCTTCCAAAACCGTATCAAATCAAACGAAATTGAAACTAATTGCAAAAACACATAAGTAAATAAATATGGCAACACCATCCATACAACACTCTTTGCTGCTTGCCACTGGTATTGATTTAAGTAAACCTCATTAGCTAAAGTAAACTGTGGCCATTAGAAGCGTCACCATCAGCAGCATCCTCTTCCTCCTCCGGTGGCTAATCATGGTAATAATACTGAATGGCCGAGAGTAGTATTGATGTAACGACACAGGTGTTGGTAATGAAAACACAACAACAACAGCAACGAAATATCAACATTATCCATTGCATGGCTTGACACCAACACCGTCACACACTGGAGCAGCAGTCGGAAGAACCAGGATATCCACATAAATGACCCCTCATTAGAATTAGCAAGGCAGTTTGTTTTGTCCATAGGGTCAGCATTAAGAGGGAGGGAGTTGGGACGGATAATTGTGGCTATGTTGGATACAACGGTATTTGTTTGTTTGGTTTTGTTCGTGTTGTATTCAGCCATGGTTGTGACTAGAATTGGTAATTCGACTGATTCATGCAAGTCTTCCAGTTGCAATTAGAATTAATTTTTTTTCTCTCGCTCTTCTTCTTCTTCTCATCTTAATTCTTCCTTGGTAACGACTCTTGTTGTTGCTGTTGTTGATAATGGTGTTATGCCCGGTAAAGTGCAGCAGTTGTTGTTGCCACCACTGCTCGCACTCATTAGCTGATTATAGTGCGGGTGATACTAGTAAAAACCCACAGCCTCTTTGGCCAAAAACTAACTGACTGTATTGGGTGGTGAATTCTGTTGCTGTTGTTGTTGCTGCTGCTGTTGCTGTTTTAGCCTCTCCTTGGCTTCTTGTTGCGCCTTCTTTGAACGTTTCCATTTCATACGACGATTTTGAAACCAAATTTTCACTTGAGTCTCCGACAGCATTAAACCGCTGGCAACCTCAAAACGTTTCGGGCGGGATAGATATTTATTCTGTTTAAATTGTTTCTCCAATTCGAGTAGCTGTTGTGAGGTGAACGCTGTGCGGGGGCGGCGTGTCTTACCCAAGATGGCATGATGAGGATAAGCCGCAAGTTCGGGTATACGATGATGCAGCATACCGGCACGAGCCAAAAATTCAAATTGTAAATGTGATGGCATGAAATGTTGACCCATTGGAATCTGGAGAGAAAAAGATAGAAGAAATGGGGGAGATTAATAAAAGCTAATTAAGGAAAATATTAATTCTTAAAATAATATCAGATTAATTTCGAGTCGTTTTCAATCCTCATGCGTGAATTAGGAAAGAATATTTTTTTAAATGTTTTTCAAGAACCTGCAGAGCCTGATGTTAATTTTTTTAAATATATATCCAAGGACTTTCAAAATCAAAAACGTGCATTTTCCAGCAAATATTTTTAAGAACCTTGAGAATTAAAAGCGTGTAGAGGACATTTTCAAGGCCTTCAGAGCTAAAATTGTGGATTTTTAATCCATATTCCTCAAGACCTTCAGACTATTGATTTATACAACATTTTTTTTCCGAGGACCTTCTGAGCTGTAACAGTGGATTTCAAAATAATATTTTTAAGGACCTTCAGAGCCGAAAGCCTGGATATTCAAAGAATATTGTTCAATGTCTTCAGTAGTAGAACTTCGGACTGTTGACTTTAAAAGAAAAAAAAAACAATGACAATGGAGTTTACTATAAGTTTTTAAGGACCTTCAGGTGCTTTTAAGGAACTTTTTAAGGAATATTGTTTAAGGACCTTCAGAGCTAAAACAACAAATGTTTGTAGAATATTTTTCAAGGATTTTCAATGTAAAGACGTTAGAAGTTAAAATATAATTTTAGCAAGGACCTTAAGAGCTATAAGGATGACTACTATTTTTTTCAAGGTCCTTTAAAGTAAACCTTCAAGTCTATGATTTTTTAAGGATATTTTTTAAAAGGACATTTTTATGTTAGATTTGGACTTTTTAAGGAATATTGTTAAGGGCCTTCAGAGGCAAAACACCAAATGTTTGAAGCATATTTTTCAAAGATTTTCAGTGTAAAGACGGTGGATATTCAAATATAATTTTAGCAAGGACCTTCAGAGCTAAAAGGATGACTAATAATTTTTTCAAGGACCTTTAAAGTAAACAATGGGGATTTTTTTAAACATTTTTAAACAGAGTGAATACTTAATGAAAATTATGATCAAGGACCTTTATATATATATATATATATATATATTTTTTTTTTTTTTTTGAGACACTCCTCCACCAAAAACTAGGAGTTTTTATAAATATATTTTTTAGAGCCTTAAGGACTAAAATCGTGGATTTATAAAGAATATTTGTTCAAAGAACTTCTGAACTAAAATCAGAGATTGCTAAGGATTATTTTTTCGAAAAAAAGGAGAATTAAGTAAAAATATTTTTAAGGACATTTCGATCTAAAAGCTTGGATTTTGAAAGAATATTTTTTTGAAATAATATTTTTCAATGATAATCAGATTCTATACCTCATTTTGTAAGGGAGCAATAGTTTGTATTTTGAAATGATATTTTTTGAGGATCTTCACTGCCAAAAGCTAAGATTTTTTATAACAATATTTTGAAGGGGTTTCGGAATTAATAACGTGCATTTATAAATAATATTTGTTCAAGGATCTTCCAATTAAAATCATGAAATTTTAAAAGAAGATTTTTTTTCAAGGATCTACATAGCGATTCTTGGGTCTTTCGATCCAATAGCGTAGTTTAAAAAAATCCGAGGGCCTTTAGAGCTAAAAGAATTTAAAAATATTCATCTAAGGATTTGTGGACAAAATATCATTGATGTTTTAAAGATTTTACGTGGACCATTTCAGCAAAAGCAGTCTCTCAAAGACGGAGATTTTTTAATAATTTTCAATGAGGTTTTGGGCTTAAGCAAATATTTTTTTTCCTTTCTGGGAATAAATTTAATTCAAATATTTCTCCAAAAAAATTATCTTTAAAAATTCAATTTTATTGGACGATAAGCCCTAAAAAAACCGATGGATTTTTAGGGACTATTAAAACGATATTTTTGTTTTCAAAGAAAATCAACCGATTGACAAGGGCTTTAAGACCAGTAACCCTGTATTTTTCCTCGAAAAAAGTCGCCTTGGTCTGATTGTGCTATAAAAGTGAATGGTTAAATATAATCTTTTCAAGGACACATTTATCTATAAAGGTCTATAGGCGAGGATTTCTATCAATATTTTTGTAAGGAATCTTGATTTTGCGTTTAACAATATTTTCTGTTGAGTTGTTCGATTTTTTTTTTTTTTTTTTGTAAATATATTTTTTCGAAAGTTCCAAACTTATTTTTTTATAAAATATTTACGTTCAAATAAACACCTACCGGTATTGGTTTTCCCGACGGGTCCAATGGCCTATGGAACGCTGAACCGCCATGTGCCAACAAATGATACGGGTGGCCGCCGGCATACAAGGGGAAATCTTGTGGGCGGATGGGACTATGTGGAGGCACTGGTTTTTTAAATTCATCACCCAATTCCATGCCGTGCATACCCAAATGCTGCTGATCCTCACAGCCGGGGCTAATGGGTGGACTAGAACGATGCGATGATGTGGGAGATTCTGATCTATAAGAAAAACAAACAATAAAAAAAAATTGTTAATATTTGTTTTATGATTAATCTTAATATTTATCTTTAGTTATACTTTAGTTAAACAAATTCAATTTCCTTCGGCAAACACTTGAAACTTGAATGGTCATTAACATTTACAAAGTATTGAGGACAAAGTCATCGTTTAAAAACAATTATAAATGATAAAATGTTTTTCTTCTTCTTCTGTTTTCTTTGCAATATTTTCCTGTGATTTTTTCTGTTACAATTTTTATTATTATAACAACAATGTAGTTTATTTTCAACATTGTTGTGCGATTTTTTTCTTCATTTTTTAATGAAATATTTCCATGGAGTATTACTTTGGATAGATTGAATAATGTGTGTGTGGTTGTATGTATGTCTTAGTTTTGAAGTGACATTTAAGATGTCTTTCTTTTCAATTATGGCATTTGTTAATAACTTCGCATTTATTTATTTATTTAAGCATTTTTAATGGCATAATTGACTGACCACTAACCCAATTTCTATTGTTGCAATTAACAACATAGCGCAGAGCTTGTTTATAAAATATTCGAAAAGTGGTTCATAACAAATTGTTAATATTGTTGTTATGAAATACGTATTGAGTGTGACCTCAAAAAGATGTGAATAAAATTGTAACAAAATAAAAAACAAAAACAATTTTTGTAGGTGTAAATATATACAAATGAGTGTTGTGTTTGTAAGTAATAGTGGATTGATATCGACCCCATGTAACCCAAATACCGGATTTAAAAGGATTTTCAATACATCAAAAAAAAAATAGGACTATAAAACTACGGGACCTAAAAGACTCACATCTAAAAAATTGGAATATTTTTAAGGGGTAGGCATTTTTTCATAAAATATCGACTATGAAAGTTTTTCCCAAGAAATTGTAGGCCCTGGAATTTTAAATAGGTAATTTTGGAGGACTAATTTTCATAATGGATTAGATTCTGTTAAAGTATGAACAGCATTTTAATGTCCTTTAGGTATATTTATGAATTTTTAATCATATTTTAAAATGGTCTAGGAATTTAATATCCAAGCTTAAATTTTATTTTCAGAATTTTTTTTTAATTTTCTAAGGACTATGTATGGAGGGATCCTTTTTATTTTTTAAAATTTTTTTATTTATATATATATTCAAAAACTATGCTTGTATTTATTTTTAAATATTTTAATAAACTATACGGGATATTTTAAGAACCTTGCATAGGTTTTTTTTTATAATTTGAAGATTATAAAAAATGGATGAACTACGGGGGATTTTGAAAAAAATTAATGGATATGTGCTTTTTTATTAAAAAATATTGGAGGTCTGTTTATTAAAAATTTTGTTGATAGACTAAGGGCTGCGATATATATAAAAAAAATTAGGGATGTGTTTATGTTTTAAAAAAAAAAACTTTTTTCAAAGGCTAGGTATAATTGTATTATATCCTTTTATTGAATGCCTCAGTTTTAAATACTTTAGAAGAACTTTGGGTACATTTTTTAAAATATTTTTTGAAGGGTTATGATTGTTTATATTTTATACATATTATACCGATTTTTTGAATATTTTTTAAGACTACAAAAATCGGAAATATTTTTGAAAAATTTAGTTTTTCTATGGCTATTAGATTTTAAGATTTTTCACAATACTTTTTTTAAAGAATTTTTTTTGCTTTCTTAATATATTTTTAAGCGTCGATTTTATGAAATATTTTTTTTTTTATAATAAAAAAAGTGAATTTCTAATGGGAAAATTTTGAAGTATTTGTATAAAAGACTATCGGGGCATTTCTGTAATTTTTAACAAGATAACTGGACGACCTTGGGCCTGTGTATATAATAATATCATTCGTGGAACAACCGGTCTATGTTTGTGAACATTAAAAAAAATTGATAGTTTGATAATTTGATAGTTCGGCCTATTTAAATACCTTTCAAACTTTTTCTACAAAATATCCATTCCCTGCATGTTTCCTTTCGACCCGGATACACATCTGTAATTTTTTATTATAAATTTTAATAAGAGGGTCGTAATTTTGAGGACTTACAAACTATAACTTTTCAAAGAAGAACTATAGGATGCCTATTAATTTGGCCCCATTTGAAAGGAACGATCTGAATGAGATAATTTTTGAAAGGGAATATTTTCCGTGACCCTTATTGAAATTTTATTAGGACACCATAAATTAATTTTGTATTGACCTAACGAGGGAATATTTAAACAAATTTTAAAAGTGCCGAAATCAGACTTTTTCGCGACCCAGACCAACAAAAATTCTAAAATAATCCGTTTGAATGAATCCATTACAAAAATGTTACTAGAATATCTAAATTTGTGATAAAATTTGGAGCTATTAAATACTTTGTTTTAAATTATTTTCATTATCAAAAACAACTTTTCATTCGCATCTCAAAAAAAAAAAATCCCATGTCTTTACAGGCAGAAAAGACATGTGCCCCAGTTATAGCCTCCAACTCTTTATTCCTTCGATACTAATGAGGACCAATAAACATATAATGATCTACCTTAATTTAAATGTGACGCCTATTACACCAGAAACCAAAGTTCTTTAAAAACTCAATTCATTTCATTCCAATTTTAGTTATCCAGCGAACGATTAGTTTTAATTAAAAATAAAAAAACCTCTCCCACAACTCACCTTGACATACCGTCGGGTGACGGTGAATCATAATCACGTGACTCGTGTATACGCTGTAACGCCTCCTGTTCGGACATACCACCCGTCGCCGCCGCCGCTGCTGCAGCAGCTGCCGCCGACATTTCACGGGCATATTGTAAACTAGCGGCGGTTAGGCGATCATCCATATGCGTGTGCTGTTTCATCGATGTTTCCATTGGCGATTGTTGCGTATCATGAGTATTTTGATTTTTCGCCAAAAGAGCATCGATGCAAAAGGATTTCTTCGGTTGAGTTTGTTGGATGACAGGCGGTGATATCGATGTAGTGGGTGATGGAGGTGGCGGTGTCAATTGTGGTGCACCGTTTAGCATGACGGCACCTAAAGGTAATCGTGGCATTGGATAGACACCGTTGGGTAATGACGATGGTGGCGGGGGAGTAGGATGTACCACCATATGTGTGGGGGGAGGTACCCCTTCATAGATCCTTGGCGGCGGTAATGTGTTGGGGAAGATGCGTTGATCTCTTAAATTAAGCGGTGATGTTGTTGTTGTCGATTGTGGCGGCGGTAATTGGGCAAGTGGATGCATATTGGGTACGGGCTGCACCAATAATGGCAGGGGAGCTGCGGTTTGTTGATGAGCCTCTTCTTGTGTGGTGGTGTTTGATGGGTGGCTTAAAGGCTTGGGAGAATTTGAATTGGAATTTGGTGGCGGTGGTGTTGATGTGGCCGAACGCTGTGGACTGTGATGTATTGATCTGGGAGATCGTGGTGATAGCGTTGAACGGCTATTGGTATCGTGTTGATAATCACTGTGGGATGGTGAGCTAATGAGATCAGATTGTTGTTGCTGTTGTTGTTGATGATGTTGCTGGGCCGCCGCAATGTGATTAAGGAACTGTGAAAGATGTTGCTGTTGTTGTTGTTGCTGCTGTTGTTGTTGATGTTGCTGCAATTGTTGCAGCGTTGGTGGCTGTGATACTTGTGCACTTGACATTGTTATAATTTCTTTCTTTAATATTTTTTTCTTTAATTTCTTTTTATTTTATTTCACTGTAATTGTTATAATTTGTTTTCTCGTTATTTTTTCTTCTTTATTAATTCTTCTTTTATTATTTTTTCAAAATATTTATTTTCAATTAAATTTTTTATTGTTATATCAATTGAATTTTTGTTGTTGTCACTTGTTTTTTTTTATAATCGCGGAGCTACATTTGCCGTACGTCCTTAACGTACAAACGCGTTTAAACGACTGTAAGAAAATAATCAACCGTTCTCAATCATATACCTCATGAAACGACGACTTCCCAACTGCCACAAATAACTCACATACATACTCTGACTCTTTTGCACCAACACCACCCCGTCATCATCTCTACACGAAAACAAAACCTTTTGCTGGGTTCATTCCATTCCCAACAACCAATGAACACCACCTTTTGTTATGGTGGTTTTCTTATTAGGTTTTCAATGCGGCACCAACTCATAATAAAGAGAGCTCTCACTTCCGTTAGTTATACTCTCTTGCACACTTAGGCTGAGATACTCTTTGTTTTGTCTGTAACTCACCCAACACACAACTCACACTGGCCTCACACACAAAAAATGGAGTAGTTCTCCTTATTGACATCTCCTTCTCTTTCTCGTGAATACCATTGGCTTTAGAACTACAAAGAGTAAAAGAGATAACCTTATCAACAAGGAGGAGTTACTTGTTCTCCGCATTGTTGAAGATGATGATGGCATATTGATGCCATTGTTTTTTATGTTGTTGTTGTTTTGCTTTGGTGTTTTTTTTCTTCTTTGTAGAGTAATTTAATACAAGGCCATGATTAGATTGAAATTGTTGGTAATTGGAAAGGTGTGGCATTTGTTGGTCGTCAGAGCACCACTCAACACAGCAATACTACCATCATCGTCGTCATCATCATAAACTTTGTAATGCTGGCAAATTGTTGAACACCCACCAACAGCATTCATCAGCATATATTTATCCCATCAGAAACGCAACCAACAAAAAGTTATTGTAATATAGTATGTGTGAGCATTCCTGTATGTGTGTGTGTCTGTGTGTTAGTTGAATTGCAGTCACCATTTTTAGCCTAAAATTGTTAGAAAAACGAGATATAATTACCATCATTATGGAGTGTTGCTGTTGTTGCTGCCACTACTCCTACCTCCATTTCTATGGCCGGTCATGGCATCACAACTTAGTTTGACAAATTTAACTTCACGAGAGTGAGTATAGCGGGTATACTACTACAACGCACACACATATATAAATACATTTATATTGTAGAACACATATTTTCCGAAAATACTGTAATATAAAGTCAGTTTTATAGTCATTAAGTCGGGTGAAATGGATGATGATGATGGTGATGAGTCAAAAGTTGAAGCAGTACAAATATGGTTATGGACTGAGTTAAGGTTGTGAAGTTCTTCTTTTCCTTTTTTTCATTGTTTTTGCTGGTGTTTCTTTTTTTGTTTCTGACAATTGTCATTCGAAACGCAATGCAAGCTTAATGAATGTTTTTTGTATGTGCATACGCTTGTAAATTCTTGTTGTTTATATTTACATGGATAATGAAAAATAATTTTTCTTAATTACGGCTGGGAACAATTAATTTAAAAAGAAAAAAAAGAAGTGTAAGAACAACTACGTGGCAAGGATTTTATAAGTTCGGTCATATGTAAAAAAAAAAATATATATATATATATATATATTACAATGATTGTTGGGAAAGGAAAGTTATGCTAAAACGTAATATTTAAGAAATGATATACAATTTTACACTTTATTTTACAATATCATATAGAAATTAAAGCTTTTAAAGCTGGAAATAGAACTTGCAAGAATCAAATAAAATAGTACAAAAGGTAATAGAATAAGAAAATGTCATACGAGGATAGACTTAAATTGCTGTACCTTATAAGAGATTGGAATGAAATCGAAAAATAAGATGTAGAGAATTCCGAGGTCTTAAGAGGGCCAACATTTAGTAGTATATAACGGATAAGAGGCCAAATTAATGGTACACATAAAATTATGATTATGAGGAGAAATGACCGCACTACAATAATGTTCGACGGGTGTATAATGAGTTTATAGGAACTATAGATTCAAGAATTAAATAAAAACATATTATTTTGGACTGGTGTACGTTTTTCGCATAAGAATATGGAATAAGGGGCGCACATTAGATTTCGATTAAAACAGGGAAAAGAAAAATATGTATACAGATAAAATTAGTAGAAGAAGTCCGAAAAGAATTGCATAAAATAATAAGCATTCGAATAAGAGGAATTTTGGAATATAATGTCTTCACAAAAAGTAATAGGAGGTGTGAAGAAAAAAAAACAAATGCCCGAAGAAAATAAATTATGCTCTAAAGAGGTCGAATTAATACAGGGAAAATATAGAGACCGTAATTGGATAAGATACCGAGATAGTATAAAAGAGACTCATCAGAAATGCGGCTTGTATAAGAAACCCTGAAACTGAAATTTTACAGTTTTTTGAAAAAATATAGTGAATTTCTCATGGATATAAGAAATTTTACTTGTATTCAAAGCGAGGTACTTGTACATGTATGGAAAACATTAACTACCCAGTAGTTCGAGTAACTGGTGATGAACTAGATATTTCACTAATTACCTGTAAGTACCACTAGTTACCACTTCATGCCCTAGACTGGTGAATTTAACATGGGTATGTCATTGGGGAAGTCAATTGTCCCCTGCCTGCGTTACCAGTATACAGTCATTTCGATAGTCGATTCATTACCCTTTGCATTACCAGTAACTACTGAATTGGTGTGATGTGTTTAGACAACTTTTTCAATTGACAAAAAAATCCAACAGTCTATTTTGTGTTCCTTTTTGGGGTATGAAGTAACTAGATCACAAAGTAACTAGCTATATAACTATATAATAGCAGACAATTGATATTTTTTGTACAACTGGGTATGAATGAAATTATAAAACAATCGATCAATACAGTGGGTTAATATATAGAGTAACTTCGGGTAATGTGGACCATGCGTCTAATGTGGACCACCCCCCATATCTAAGAGAATGCTTGAAATATGACAATGCCGCCTTGATTAATGTTTTCCTAATAAGTGAAAACAAACATCAAACTTGGTTTTTAATAAATTATAGCAATTTTGAAAATGTAGTGCTAAAAAATTTAGCTCTGATTGTAAAAGTGTGATTTTGAAATTTTTTACCACAATAGTCGAACGTTTTTGCAAAATAGTCGAACACTTTGTTTTTCTCGAATATAAAGAAGTTATGTGGTTTTCTAGTTTTCTTTAACAAAAATATACGTTTACGCTGTAATTACAATCGGTGATTTTTAATTTTTATTCATTTTTGACGCCGATAATTATTTTTAAATAAAAATATTCAATGTCGGGTAATGTGGACCACTATAAAAATTGGGACCTTTACATGAGGACGAGTTCGAAACATGGGCGCGTTTAATATGCGAGGAGGTATTCTATCCTCTGAAAACTCGATATGCGAAGTTTCAGGTGCTTCGGTTGGATAACGAAGCAAGGACTTTCAAAATACCGCAAATGGGGCGGTACCCTCAAATGGGGGTTATTCCAAAACATGAACCCATATATATTTGCATTCATTGCTACCCAAGTGTGCAATAAATTGAAATTTATCACAACCAATCCACATCCTACCTTTAACTTACTGATCCTCATTACCCACACATACTGGTCCACATTACCCGCCAAGTAATTTTTTTACGCAGTTTAGAGTTTTTTGAAATATAATGCAATAACATTTTTATAGACAAATAAATATATTGTTTGACCTGGAATATATTTAGACAACAAATCTACTAAGTTGTGAAAACAATTTATTTTTATTTTTTACCGTTGTTACGCCCACAATATCAAAAAAAGAAAATGGTGGTCCACATTACCCGAAGTTACTCTATATATATATAATGGTGAACCTAATTAAAAATCTGAATAAAAAGAGGGAAAAAGTCCAATTAGAATATGAAAAGTTCTTATAAAATATTCTTGACCTCTCTGGAGTTTATCTTAAAAAGTTCGCCCGGTAGAGGAGGTGTTTTTATTTGGTTCGACGGATGAAGTTGGACTTATAAGCCTGCAAATAATTGTAGGAATTCATTAGCATTTTGATTTGAATAACAGGGGCCCATAAGAAGTCCGATTGGAATATGTAGATGAATTAAAAAAACAAGGTTGGAAGATAGTTAATATATAGCATGAAATAATGTGAAATGATTTAATGAAATACTCCTGAAAAAATAGAAGTTAATAATAAACATGTGAAAAAAGCCGATATACATGAAATACAAACTTCAGGTATTTGTATTTGGGTTTTAGGATATTTTTCCTAAAACCCCCAAAAAGTGGACAAATATTGACGACGCATGGTAGGATGGAACATCCCCAAAATAATGCAATTTAAAGGTTGCAGTTATACAAGGCCATCACCACAGGTTTTATATAGTTCGTTCTCGAACATCACGTTCTAATTTTTTATCTCGATATCCTCCGCAAGTAGAATGATAACAACAACCCAACCCAAAACACGGAACAAATCAGATAACCATTTTAATATAAAGAAGGGGGTTATATGAGGACTACCCCTAAAAGGGAGCGAATATTAATAATTTTTGGGAGGGAGGTTTGTTACAAAAATTACAAAGAATTTGGTTGAAAAACGCATTGAAGAACCCCAAAATATCGAAAATGGGGGGGGGGGGTAAATTTATATGGAGGCTACCCGAAAAATGGACCTGTATTTATAATTTTTAGTGGAGAGATTTGCTTCCCAATAAGAACTAGAAGTACTAAATTACAGCCGATTCGGTCGAAAAATACGATCCGAACCCCCAAAATAGCGAAAATTTTCGGGTCCCGTTATATGGGGACTAACAGAAAAAGTGGGCCTATATTTATAAGTTTTAGTGGAGTAACTTGGTACCCAATAAGAACCCAATATACAAAATTTCATCGAATTCAGTTATAAA